GACTAATGTAATAGACAAAGAAAAACTTGTAGCACATTTCAACAAAAATCGAAACGAATATAAAAGCTCCACCTGCTTATAGCAGTTATATGAAGTACCAGCGCCAAACAATTAAAACTACTTACACATATCAAAGTTTTAGAACACAAACACTTGAGCAGCCTTAAGTTCTACTATGGGATCGAATGTATGTGTCGAAACATCAGATCCTGCAAAATGAGCCGTTACGAACTTACGATTCCGAATCACATCCACAATGCGTGGAGCGTGCGCTTGAAGATTTCATTGATTCAAAAGTGTCCAATTGTCGGATTCGCAAAACAGTATATCAATTAAATAAAACGGAATCAATGGGTACTGAAGTTTTGCAAAGTTATCAAAAGATATGCCGAGATCAGCGCACAACGGGCTTTCGCCAATGTTCAATCAAAAACGTGGATGCCATTAACAACTACAATTGCAACAAAACACTGGTCTCTACGAACCGATCGTGGCTGTGGAAAAGGCGAGACCCTATTCCCAAAAGTAGAGAAATCAGAAGCGTGCATATGCGCTCAAATTACGGCTGAAGTGCCGAATGGCCTGCGAAAATCTTCAGCGAATAACTAGTCAAATTCAAGTGCTGCAATCAAACGCAGGAAATAATAATAACCCTATATTTCTTTTCGCTATTAAAGAAGAAAGAAATGGTCGGATAACTCACTCAATGACGTTTTCTGAACGGTAGTCTTCACGTGAATGAGAACAAGAAATGTTTTCTAAACGGTCTCGCGGATGTGATCGTGATTACTGAGCAAATGTTTTCGAAAATATGCTAGCCGCCTCCTGCAAAAAAGACCAATTAATTGGAGGCGCTCACTGGACTACTCCAGCTTCGTAGTCAATCTCGGTTCCTCTAACAACTCATGATAGAGGAACTGAGATTGACAACGAAGCTGGAGTGGTCTACGTAATGTTAACAAGTTTGCCCTTAAATAAAAATCATTAAAAGAATTACTCACTTCAAAAAAACTGCTCAAGACTAAGTGTGAGAAATTCGGCAATCTTTCAATTATTTGTCTAGCAAAGGAATAAGACAGAGGCCATAATTGCTTACAAATGGGAATAACATGCCTTGCCATGCATTGTCAATAACAATACAATGAGCCTAATACCAGGAATATAACAATCGTACGACTCCCATGAACAAACAGTTAGCTGGAAAAGACCTTTGTGGTATAAAATTTCCTATGAAAATGACACAGAATAGAGCAATAGAGCACTTGAATGTGTCTGAAAACAAAATGAAGAAGCATCGCACTGAATAATCACAAAAAACGTCGTACTTGATTGAATGACAGAACTAAAAGTAACGAAATAATGGCAGAAAAATATAAAAAGGATAAAGATTAGCTGATGCTAAATCCCATATTGAGATGCGGCACGCACTCTACATCCATCTGTACATTCGTAGTAGCGATTGGCCTATACAACGACTTGCGGGGGTGAGCTGATGTACCAGTCAGTGTTTTTATCCTCCCAACAAGCCTGATACCAATTTAATGACCCCGGAACGAGGAAGGCTCGGTGGCTCGGAGACGCCACGGACGGCCCAGGAACCGCTCCCCGGAGCGCGCGTGGTAAGCGTGCCACTTGCCACTACACCACTGACGTCCCTGCCTCATATATGAAAGTGAATTAAAAGTGTTTTGAAGGGTGCGGCCTTTCATGGCTTGAACTTGAGTAGAGCGAATGATAATGCATTGTGAACTATTGTGAACTCAGAGCAGTATCCACAATTTGCTGTCAATGGTCAAAAGTAATTAACAGCAGAAAATGCGCTCGATAATTGAAATTTTGGAGAAGATGTAAAGCTATCAATGTAAAAATCATGTAAAAAATGATCAACGTAAAAAAGTTGTGATTGAAAACAAAGTTTGCGAGTTCTCCTACCTTATGATAGCACATTTCGTGTATCGAGAAAAATCAGAGCAAACACTGAAAGCCAATTTTTGATTGACAAGTACACCAGGGGAAATGGAAAGCAGATCAAGTAAACGTGACAGATCTAACATTGACTTCAAAAATTATTGGTACAAATCTCACCTTAGCAACCTAACATGCGATCTGCATCCAGTTCTTGACTTTGCCACTTTCCTTTTTGCTTGACGTTGCATTTCTGGCAAACAAAACGAACGACTGCGGCTGCCCCCTTTGCCTTCAGCTTCGCCTTCCGAAGCTTGGTGCCGCACTCGGGACAGAATCGGAAAAGCTTCATCAGCAATTCGCCTTTCACTATGAAGTATTTCTGGAGAACTGCTGAATCTTTGTCTCCAACATCGCCGTCACAGCTTGAGTCCGATCCACTGGTACCAGGTTCATTCTCGGATACCTGAATTATAGAATTTTCTTCAGTGGCTCTATACTGGCACAATCTACCGAACCTCTGCTGTTCTGGATGAAGCTTCATCATCGATACCATCGAAGGCGATCATTTCCTCGTCTTCTTGAACCTCTACTTTAACATTCACTGGCTCAGTACGCCCATCTGATTCGCAAGCGTTCGCAATGGATAGACCCTCCTCTGGCTCATCCTGAAGTTCAGCTTATTTTCGCGGAGAAATGATCTGAAATTGCCTAAACTAACCTCCTTCGCCTGGTGCAAGGGCCACACAGACGTTCCATAGTAATTTTTTCGAGCGGCATTTATGAACGATCGCACATCTACTTCCGTGATGAAAAAATCGCCCTGAATGAGGGGTACCTATGCTTTTTCAAAAAACCTGCACTCGAAGTAAAGCCTTACATTGCTCATTTGATTTATCGCTTCAACGAGACTTTCAGGAATTTGTGTAGTGATAGCGGCAGTTAACTTCCCTGCGGTGGAGGGGTATACGTAATATGATAACGGCTTCTTTCCGGCAGCAACCACCTCAGCAGAAAGGAACTGCGCCTGTTGTCAAAAGGAATGAAAAGGAATATAAAATTAACAACGGAATATAAAATTAACAACGCAATAAGTTCAGAGCGTGGAGCGCTTTATCGCAACTGTTTTTTGCACTTCGTAAGAGCTCACCGTAGACTATTAAAGCGTGGCTCATCGTCAGTTAGGCTCCTTTCATAGTTGGGGGAGTTTACTAGGACAGAATCGACTATTTCCCGTTTTTCGCGGCTACCGAAACGCTGAAAATTGCTGCCTGTCTTTACTGAACCACCCTATCTTAGTTTGGCGCTTAGTGACCGTACGGACGGCGCGGAGAGAGTAAAAGCGTTAACACGCGTTCTGGCGCGCGATACGTATATGGCGCGCAGTCGCCGACTTCCGATCGATAAATTCGTTCTTTATATTCCTCCTTTTTTCAGGTATTCCACGCCATGTTGCTTTTGCTCGTGTTTTTTGGCGAGAGTCTTTTCCTTTTCAGTGTGAATCATTGCTTTTCAACTGTCCTAGAATGATTAGGTTCATACAGTGTGTTTGAAAGTGGCAGTAAGCCCCAGGTGAGTTCATTAGTAAGCAAAAGCAGTATCCATACAAAAAGAAAAGTTTCGAGCAAAACAAGCGCAAGTGAAAAGCAAAACGGCACACAAAACGTCAAAAAAAAGAAAAAAAATGTATTGCTTAGGATTATCGATCGGATACGCCGACTCCGCGCCAAATACGCATTGTGCGCCAAGCGCCTGTTGACGGCTTTTCACTCTCTCCGCACGGACCGCAAACTATAAAAGCAGCCTTAGTGGCGCGCCGAATGCCAGGAAAGGTGGAGAAATGACCACTGCTTTCACGCTCTGCGATGCGTAATAACTGGACCGCTTTACGGTTGACGTTTCGGCAATCGAAATTCGGTTTTGTAGACCATACACTACCTCGTACGACATGGACGGGATAATATTGAAAAAGTGCTCCACGCCCTGAACAACTTGCTCACTTGCAAAAATATAACAATGAATTTAACTTCATCTTACCGCTAATACCACATGCGATCGACATATATACTTGCTGCGTGTGCTGATCTCCTGCACCAAATATCCCACGTTAGCACCATCCAAAAATCCGGCCAAAGAAAGTGAAGCCGTTAACACAACATTCCACTTCTTCCGCGTGGTTGTTTGCTTCAGAAGGCTTCTTGGGGCACTTTTTCCACACAACACACATAATCTCCTTTCATATATCATACCGCAATGAGAAACCTAAATCAACATAAATCAGGCCCAACAGACACATTCGCGTCTTACCAACGAGGTTTTACACAAATAAGAACAACGGTCACTTTTCAAATGATTACAATTAACACCTGCTTCTACTTTGATTTCTATTTTCACGCACCACCCTCACAATGTTCGCAAATGTCCTGCCTAAATTCCGTGTAGATTTTCGGTAGTTACTCTGGAAAATGTTAGGCATTTGTTTATTGTTTTCTATAGTCAGGACTCTACAAGGAAGGTCGTTCAGGGTGTGCCAAGCTTTTTCAAAACGGTCTTTTGCATGATATAGGGGCACACATGCGGGAACCACAGAACCATGGTTAATTTTTCCTGAACGGCTCTCTGAATACCAGAAAAGGGGGTCCCTAGTCACACCTTTTTCACCACTTTTTCAATCAAAGTCTACTTGTAAGGGTTACTGACGGTTTTAATCATGAGTTATGGTACTAATTATTCATGCTAACTCCATTTTGCGCGAATTTTGGAACGTCAACTCGAAATGCAAAAATTTGTCACCACGAGGAATCGAACTAGGGACCCCTTTTCTGGTATTCAGAGGGCCGTTCAGGAAAAATGAACCATGCTTCTGTGGTCCCCATATGTGCCCCAATGTCATGCAAGAAACCATTTTGAAAAAGCTTGGCACACCCTGAACGACCTCCCTTGTAGTGAGTAACGGAATAGGGGCGAGCATATAGGGTGAGTGAGCAATATCAACGATCGCGCGACACATCAGGACTAAAAATCAGGGACAGATAATTAGAGAGGAACGTAAGCGTTCGTTAAGGTATTGTTGTAGCATATGTTCAAACATAATGCCCAACGAACTTATACAAGGGACGAGCTGTCCGACGGCCTGCAGTTTTAGTCACCGCTTCCCGGTACTGCAGCAGAATCTAGCGCTGCGGACACAACTAAAATTTAAAAGCTTTAGAGGCGGTTTCACAGTCCCTCAGGGTCCAGAGCCGTGCGTTCAAAAACCACATGTGAAATAAAGACATGCTTACAAGTAAATGCGAAAATTTTGGCTATTATGTTGGTTCTGGGCCCAGTTCCGAATATCTCAACTAAACCAAACCCAGTTCCGGGATGTTCAGTTTTGGAAAATTTCCTTCAACCTCTTTGCATCAAGATTCTGACAGACCTTGGAAAGTCAGGTTTTTTTGATCGGTCACTTGACATTGGGCAATGTGACCTACGTGACATCAATTTTAGCAAATTCTCTGGGTCCTTTTTTGCAGACAACGGTCTAGTGACTGCTCTCGGAGCTCTTTCAGTGAAAGGTGTGGAGATTTCGCTCCAGCCGTCCCACCCGTTCAGAACCTCGACAAGTACTTCATCGTATTTAAGCCTTCGGGACTAGCCGAAACAACGGGGGAAGGTAGGAGTCCGGGATTGAAACATGTGCTACAGACAAATTGAATGAAAATGGTTTTCATTGAATGAGAGGCATAGGGGCTTGCCAGTTATCGTTAACTTCAAAAGTGTCTCGAGGAAAAACTAAGCAACAATTTAAGTTTGGGTAGTATTACGAATTCGGTGGGAGGGAGGAAGTCGTAGAATTTCGAAACAAGCCAGACGCAGAAGCGACCTTGTGCAGGAACCAAATGCACCTTGCATATTCTTTGAAATAAGGCGTCGCAGCCCTACCGTAACCCACATAGTCTGCAATTACACTATGCAATCAGTGACGTAACATCGGATACGAAAAAATAGAGCAACATTTTGTGTTGTTTGGCTTTAGTCGAGGTATCTCTTTTAGGTTTCATCCAGTATTTAAGGGGGGCATGCTCTGTAACAGTACGCACCCCGGAGCTTCCTTTCCTTGCAAAAAATTGGATTTCTTTAGGCGACGTGAGCTGTCGCTTAAAAAATCCATTTCGTCACATGTCTCCTCGCTGTGTGAGACCCTTTCTGGTTCTGGCCAGTTTACAAGCTGACCTAGCAGCCTTCATTTTGTAAAGTTCAGTCTCAGTTTGTCTCGAGGTACCATGTGCTGTGCATTGTTTCACTTCGAATCTTCCGAGAAAGTTGTTTCTTCCCTCTCTTTCTGCATTGCTTACTTAATCTCGTGTTCCAGGCTATGAATAGAGACTACACTTCGACCACAGCGCAGCGCAGGCCAGTACTCAAAAGCACCGTACCAAATGTTGTACTCGGCATGGCGATACAGGTACTGTCGCTTCACAAATTTATACGGTCACAAGGCTTCTATCAACCGAGGTGTAGGGTTTAGATGGAAAAAAAACATACGCATATGGGTGTTGTTCCCTAGGATAGGCCACTTCTCCGGCTTTCGCAGCGCGAGACTTTTCGCTGTGAGACCCTAATGTCCAATCTTGCCAAATTTTGGTTTACGGACTACTTGGACTTCCTTCTATGGTGCTGCGAACAGAGAACGGCGGCTGGCTCGGCTCCAAATCCCAAGGGGGAAGGTGAGAGCCTAGGACTAAGCCTTGGGGGAGGGGGAGGGACTCCGAGGTGGGTGAGCCAACTTCAGTGTGGCAAAAGTTTGAATGTGTGAGATCACAGTGGTCATGAGCCGCTGATAAGGTGAGAGAGCGCAGACGAGCATCGAACTGAGGCGGCTTGAAGGACCATCTTCAAGTAGTCCAAAATCGACCCAAAATTTTGTCTAAAAATGCTCACAAATGGGAGGGGCTGAGTAGTTGATAGCTGCCGGAATAAGTGCCCAAGTAGCATTTCTTTTATCGTGAAAAATTCCTGTTATTAGAGACTTTCAAACAAATACTTCGAAGAGAACGCCGAGAACGCATCGTTTTGTACTCCTTCTGACTAGTAAAGGACGCCATTCGTTACGGGTCCCACTGCCTCCTGCTACAGTGAACCCTTCAATGTGGAGCGGGGAATCCGTGAGCCAGGGGCAGTGTCGCCAGTCTAGGGGGGGGGGGGTGAGGGCAGACACTTGACATGCGTGAGAAGCTGGAATGTTCGAATTCAACCGCGATCGCATGGGATCCCCGCGGGTTAAGGCAGTGGGTCCCGCAACGAATGGCGCCCTATACTAGTCAGTAGGAGTACAAAATGATCACTCCGGAACTTCGAAGAAGTTGTTTTCTTCTCGTTTCAAGCACATTTCGTACGAGATAGCTGAGATGCACGCCATCCTTGCTGCTCAAGCGTTTTTCACAGCACAAAGGATATGATACCTGTTTGCAAAGGCTGGAATGTGTTTCGTTGGACTCATTAGAGCGCAAGTTTTGCTGACGTCTTGTCACAAGCTTCTTTCATTGTGCACGAAACAATAGAAAACAAACTGTGTTAAATTGTGGGAGTCCCTCTTAAGGAAGCGACTATGCCAATGTTGGTCAGTAATCTGGTAGGTTGACATCTTAATCTAGTCCTATAACGATGGCTTAGCTTGATAGCTGCAACCGCGAGGTTAGGCCGCGGCCATACTTTGCGGCAGCGATCAGTACAGATGATGCTATCGCACGATCGGTACTTATCCACTTTACACTCGAACCGTTCGACGAACACAAAGTATGTATAACCGCGACGTATGATTACTACCTTTCCAGTCCATTATAATTTCATAATGGTGAGGTTCGCGTTATTAAAATGGACGCCCCTGCATGGCTCCTCCTCCCAGGCAATGGATTTACCGCTAGCTTACTTTACCCTCTAGTAACTGCTTTGTTCCCTCGTTTTTGACGAGGGTATGTGCTTCTTTCTATCCGACTTTTGCAGGTCGCTCGAAGGTTTCTGTTCATCGATCCGAAAAAGAAAGCCATTGCATTTCTGGCATTCGTTGCGCTGTTATCAGTGGTGGCTCATTCATCACTCTCGATGACACACTTTATATAGTACAGGTTAGCAAAAAAAAACACATTTGTCAAAGTTGGTTTCCACGAAGATTTCATTTATAGGTTCGGTCGATCCGCAACCGTTTCTCTTTGTCGTGACTCTTCCATTGGCTGGGATGGTCCAAATCCTTTCTTTCTCGCCTTTTAAAATGTCGTTACATAAGTTAGACGGTCACGGAAAGTTCTCGACGGTCCACATCGATTTAGGTGTCTACCTAACGCACAGTTTACTTTTTTGCAGAAGCACAGTGTTTTCAATCAATATGGCGTTAAACTTGGATGGATGTGGACATGCTTTATTGTTGGGCCTTTCATTTGGTTTTCTTCACGAGCTCATCATCGGTATTTTACTTAATTTTTCCTGAGGAGCATGAGAAAATTATCACATCGTGAAATGGACTCGCTCGTTTGAGAATATGAATAAAGACACCTCTATCACAAGACGGCCGCAATTAGTGCAACCCGCAGAATGGTGATATTTTTCGGCCTAAACTTCACTTATAGGACCTATCCAATGCTCTCATCACAAATATGACATTGTTTTTGAATCTTGCTTCGTTATGCGTTAGTTTCACCCAAAATAATGTGAAAGTGACGCTGTATAGCATCATCGTCATAAACAGTAGTCATATTCGTGACCAGGACGCTAGATGCTCCCATACATAACCACCAAAGAGAATGTTCAATTCTTGATCAGGCATCCAATCGGCGAACCAGAGAAGATTTTTTTGTCTTTTTTCGGGGTTGTAGTCGTCCATTTCACGTGCTGCTTATTGCTTCTCAGTCTTTTCTACTTATAGTGATTTCTTCTCTGTTTTCCTGTTATCCTTAATACTTCTTCTGGTTCAGGGACAAGGACAAATCCATAATTGATATTTTGCGGCTAGCAGTGGGACCATTGCTGGTAATGCCAAGCATTTGGCAGGTGAAGTGTTCAACCGTTTCTTTATGCATTATGAAACGTGAAAACGTAATGATTCCGTTCATTCTCAACAGTAACTGGTTTCAAAAGAAAGGAAATCTTACGAAGCTTGAAGCCTTTCTTACCGGTGTTTGTTGGCTAGAATGGTTGGTTGTGATGTAGGCTCCCGATGAATGTTACGAAATTAAGTATTGTGTAGTCTTCAGCACTCATTGTGGGAGGGTTTCGTTTTCAGAACATCCCCTTTCAAAAGTATGCAGGGGCCGTAAGGTATGCTTCCCCGAAGGGTTAGGGGACGAAAGTCCCTTTAAATTTTCTCTGTAGTCCCAACTGGGATTGTCCTGATAAAGGGCCTACATCTTAATATATGTGTGTAGCTTAAAGTAAGCATGCATTGAAAATAAAGAAACAGTATCGTTCAAAACAAAAAATTTAAAGGGACTTTCGTCCCCGCAACCATTCGGGGAAGCATACCTTACGGCCCCTGGATGAAACATTGTCCCTTTTTATCTTTTTACGTATCATCCTTGACTTTAGCCATTCTGAGTCTGAGTTCAGTAAAGGTACGGTAGTATGATGTTTCTTCAAGTTAAGTTATATGCTTGCAGATTTCATCGATTGATGCAATGGACTTCTCGTTGTGACCTCAGTATTCGATATTCTCGAACGATGTGCAAAGAGAAAGGTGGTGTATGGATTCCAGGATTCGACATTTCTGGACACTGCTTCCTCTTGATATACAGCATGCTGGTAATGGCTGAAGAGGTGGGTAGATATGGTGCAGTATACGGACTACAAGCAACATTCAATTGCGAGAACTTTTGCAATCGCTCTGCCGATCAGTGTGACTTGTTTCGCACCATGTTTCCTATTCTCGGGATTTAGTATTCGTACCAAAAAGGTAGCTAAAGCTTCCCTGTTAAGCTTGAACTCTATGCCCCTATCTCTAAGTGAAGCAACAAAGGTAATGTAAGTAAGCAGATAATATTCGAACTTTTAAAATGGCTTGGATGTTGGCCTTTTAGGAGATGAAACGAAATTCCTTAACTTATTGCAATAGAGTACGTTTAAAATCTTCGGACTAGATCTTATTTTGTTATTCTTCGCAGCACCGTTCAGTGTTGAAACTACAGGTTTGTGGTTCGAAGTGGTTTTATACATCCTTCGTCTCACGGTCAGCTGAAGAAGTGCACTCTTGCCAATCGCTCACTTCTGAATGGGTATTCGACTTCCAATTGCTTTGTCAATCGAACTTTTTGCTAATTCTAATTCGTTGGGTGCAAATAGCTCTAAGATAGAAAGAAATGTGAGCTTTCTTATTTGACAGCCTTTGGTTTCTAGATTGGAATTGGAGCCCATCCCACCCATGACTTCCTCAGCTATCTAAAATAACAAAGGAGAATGAACTAAAAAATAAAAGTATATACTTCTGTTGAAGACTTATAACGAGAAAGATTCCAGAAGATTGTAAATGCTGACCACAATAAATATGTATTAGTATTGAGGTTGTGGTTATTCTACGTTTTCGGCACTATCTAGGGTTGCCTCTTTCTCTGCCGTTTGAGAACCTTTTCGTTTCTCTATTGCAAAAAAGAAAAAGAATAACCGAATCTTTGTGAGTGATTGACGCAGAGATCCTCTCAAATTCTTTGGAGAAGTTAATATACTTCTGAGATTTTTACGATTTTGATATGGAATTTTATCTATTACAACACCTCATCTTATGCTGTGCTTTACACTTGCAGGCAAATGCATTCCGAGAGTGGCAGCAGGTCGTTCATCGTGACGACGACTGTGGTATCGTAATGAGAGAGCGACAGGAGAGGCGAGTGAAGCTAGCGCAATACTTCGTTGTTGGCATGCTTCTTTTGAACATTGTTTGGGTAAGCACTCATTGTACAATGTTGTTTTACCGAATTTTATCCAAGTTTCTCATAATTTGAATTCGAAAACAAAGCCATAGGTTAAGTATATATTTGAATTCGAAAAACAATAGTCCATAGTGTAAGTACTTATTCTTCTTTTTCGGTAGATCTGAATTTTTTTCAAAGCGCATATTTTCCACCTCTGTTTAAGGTTAGTAATCGTGTCTCGTTTAGAATACTGATTACAGCACAATAGTTTTTTTTTTCAACTGAACCGTACTAATCTTCTATTGGAAAAAAGGAAATCAATGCTTCAGAGATCGATGTTTTACATTCTTCAATTCTTTTGAATTGTGACTGCTTTTCAACCAGTAGCTGAAGAAATTTGATAGCGAATAAGGCTTGCAGCGAGCGGTAAATATATCGGCTCAAGAATTAATAGCTTCCTGTCGTTCATTGAATTATCGCTCTTGTGTAGTTTCTGCCTATATCATGTGTTGAGATGATGTACGGGCAAATGACACTCGAACGTAAAAGAAAGAGTGGACCTTGTGTGGTTGTGAAATTAAGCCACATAAATTGTGTTACATTATAGGAATCCTTTGTATTGCCAAATTCACAACTAGATATAGCATTTTGACGTTTTTCGATCAGCAAGTGCATTTGGCGATTATTCATTGAATCAAATTATAATTTGCCGCTTCAAATAGCGCTCTGGGTCACGGTTAGAACGCGGAAATTCAAATGTTGAAATAAACTTTGTCACATTTTGAAAACAGCTCTTGTGTGACTGATCCCTACTCATTTCAGATCAAACAGCTTACGATCTCTATTTTGTACTACCACATAATGATCGACAAGGTGAGTTTTTTTTTCTCTTCTGGACCTTTACTCATGTGTGAAAGATGAATAGTGCATGAGTAGCATGAATTGTGAAGGGAACGTTCCGTGCAAATATTTGAAAACTTCAGGTTGCCGGTGCATTGGTAGCTATATTCTGGTGGTACATTACTTATCATATTCTCTATCCGAATGGTTTCCTGCAACCACCTATTCATCGCATTAAACCACCAACCATAACTAAACGACGATAGAGATTTTAAAATGTAAAGCTTAGATTTAGACCGCATTTGTTTTAGTCTCCTAAAGTTTTCGATTCTTTAACAGTTGAGGTGCTTTCATCACCAATTTGAGTCTAATTACTTTTTGACGCAAAATTTCATTAAATACTGTACAATGGTTGTAAAATATTTTAAAGTCTCCGAAATGGGCCAGTTTGAAATAAGTTAGGGAAAAAGATGCGTTCTTCTTTGCATCGATTTTTGCCAGTGAAACAGAAACATCTTAGCGGAGTTCAAACCGTATTTGCTTAGTTATTTAATTATTGTACTTTGCTTTTTAAACAAGCCTTTCGCTCCAAGTTTTTCTAGCTAAAACAAATCATGGTAGGCCAGTAATTAGTCTATTATAAGTATTTCGCCGCGAAGCCTTGAGTGTAGAATTACGGGAGACAAAATCACTATGAATGTTTTATGTTAAGTAGTCCTTTTGAAGAGTTGTAGCCCTCTAGGAGTACTGTTTTGCCTTCTAGGCTAATGCTGATAGTGATATGTGAAATGTTTCCTCGTGCTTCTCTTGTTCATCTACTTGCTCGTCAAATGTACAAGTCAAATTATACCTTGCTTAGTTTTAAATGTAGGTGTTAACTTCAACGTTTTAAGGGTCCAGAGATATATTGCAATAAATATTTAATGAGGTTTTGTGGATACGTTGCTTCTCTGAGGTGTTGTCGAACCACTTCTCGGAGGTGTTCGCCGAAACCACTTCACGAAGTAATGAATAGGAACAGTAGATACATAGTTTGGGCTCCGAAGTGAAATCTCATTTTTCAGGAGGTGACTGAGTGAAACATTGAACCAATATATATTGGATAGAATCATTTTTTATTCTCTATATTCGCAACGTAGATCGTCAACAATATGGCCTGTGAACATTACCTACCTGTATTCCTGTCGTCCCGTTGGTCATCGAGGTTACTCGGGCGGGCGCCAGCAACGCCTCCATTCGTGCCTGTCGCGTGCAGGAGTGGTCCAATGGATCCTCCTCTCTCGAGAGACACGAAGTCTTTTATTTCTTTCGTTCTAGGCTCTCCAGGGAAGAAGTCGAGCCATTCGCGGCCGGCCGGTCGTTCTGTGTTCGTTTGCTCCCGAGGGATCCCACATCAGAAACGTCAATCACAGAATCGCCATTAAGGATGTTCACTCCCAACCTGTCTCATGAACTCCTATTGGTGAAACAACGGCAGCGTTCCTGATCTTCGCGGTGACCGTATAATTCGGGACATCCCGCGATATCCTTCCCGCACGTATACGTGATATAGGGTCGACTCCAAGCATCCGTCCCATCCGTAGCTACAATCGGAGGCACCAGGAATTCATGACCAAAGCTGCCGTCTTGTTCTATCATCAGTTGTATTTAGTTAACAGAGACAGAGGTTGAACAAAAGCTCTTTCCAAACTTCGCGAGCTGAACCTAGGCTGAAATCATCGAAGCTTCAATCAAAGCGTGTCGGATACGATTAGAGGAGCCTAGGAGGAATTCCTTCCTAGAGGAAGACACGCGGGGTTCCCAAGCAGGCGCCGCACACTACCGCTACTCAGAAGTGTGCGAGCAAGGCTGCTAATTGAAGGCATTGTTTTACGATCAGGGGTGAGCCCTCCTTGCGGGCAGGTACATGCTTTCTCCGCGTTTTCCTTTCTCATACCGCTGTGTCTTTCCATACACGGCGGGGATCTCACCCAAGAGCGGATTCAATCCTTCCCCCAAGGGAAATCCCCCTTCTCTGATTCAATCCTTTAGGGGACAAAAAAGGGCCGAGAGCAGCGCTACTTACCCTCCACTGATGAAGCACTCTTTTCCCTGAGGGGTCGCGCTGCTCTAACTGTCTGGCAGGTAGAAACACAGAGGTATGCTAGGTCCTATGACGCAACCCTTTTTTGTCCCCCCAGAGGATTGAATCAGAGTAGGGGGATATATCCCCCTGGGGGAAGGATTGAATACCGCCCCAGGGAATTTCAGTCTTTGTATGGCGCATTTTGTTTTTTTCTCCCCTTTTGTTACGCTATCACATTTCTTTTCCAAAAAAAAACACCAATCGATCGTGTCGCGCGCCTTTATACTTTGTTATATGATCTTTGATGGATTGCTGTACACTGCAAAATAAACCAGCATACATCGCCGTGATTGGTGTAACAGGGTGTGCGAAAGTTGACGCAGAAACTGATAAAGATACGAATTGCATCGGGGGACTTTTCCCGAAAAATGCGGAACCTCTTCAAATTCTTTTATAATCATTTTTATGAAAAATGACTCTTAGTTGCATAAGACACTCATTCATATGGGGAATGCCAGAATGAACGCATGTCCCGCATTGCCATCAGGGCATCATTTTTTCCTCAAATCAACGTTCCGTCAAAATTGCGAACTGCCTAAAGCATGCCATGGTTTGAACTCACCTTTTTTATTGGGTTATTGTTCTCCAGGTAACAGCACTTGATATGATGACGAAAATGCTCCCAAAAGTCAACAACAGAGATATCATAGTCTGGTTAAGCGATTAAAGCCAGCAAGAAATAATATGTTTTCGTGAACAGGTTAAAATGTGCACAAACAAAAGCTAGAAATATTCAGGGGATTGTTGAGGGGCAGTGACCACAACAACGCAAGTCGCTGGAGGTGGCACGGCTCCTATACCCTAAGGGTAGGTCCGTCAACTTTTCTCCAACTGTTCTCGATCACTGTTGCGGCGCATGTTCGACGTGAGGGGGTGCAGGCCGAAAGGGACTCGGTAGGCTCGATGATATAATAGGTTACACGCATAAGTTACTCAGACAGTACTGATGCGAGGAAGAAGTACTATTCAAAAGGAAAAGGTGATGTAGGGAAGACGCTGATGAGTAGAACTGCCCAGATTACGCTCAAAATGTCCTAATTCAAAGGGATACACGGCGTTGTAGTTCCTGTGGTTCCACTCTGCAGGAAGTCCTATCCACGTACCAAGCGGTATCCGACAGGAGGCCCATCGCGCGGCGAGAAGGCAGAGACGCAGAGGGCACAGCGGATGGGTCGCATGCAGTGCGTGGATGCCGCGACTTAGCTTCAAAGTTAAAGCGAAGTCTTGGGACAAACTGGTAATAAACGCTTCGTAGTGATGCAAGATGGTGAGCTACGGAACGACCTGAAAGTGGAAAGAAAAGTAGGGAGAAATCTTGGGATCGCTGAAATTAAGGCCTTACCCTTTAATAAGGTCGGATGTGTTACGATGGCGAGACAGGGCAATCAAAAGAAGACAAATCACGCGAGAGATCACGCTGTTCAAGAGAGCATGCCGATCTCTACATCAGTCGAGGGTGGGAAGCGCTGCAACTTTGGTCGATGGTTGCAGGTCCGCCCCGATCGCGCAATTTTTGCGACGGAGTTGGACTCATCTAGGTAATTACGGACCTTACAATTCCCCCGCAGCATCCTTCTCCTAAATCGGGCTAATGTCAAGGATTGCCTCTGAGTATAATGTGCAATAGTACGTCCCACATTACACGGCTCACGCTGCACTCGTTCGCTGATCAGCATGCGTCTCTGCCTGGGTTCGGCTCGCGCGCGACGAGTCTCCTGTCTCAACCGATTTACAGCCTTGTGGTAACACCTGAAAGATATACTGTTTGAATAGTCCTACAGACCATCCAGAAGCAGTAGGACAGATAAAATGCAACCAGTTCAAGTGCAGTCTCATGCTACTGCAAGCTATAAAATCAGTTACCAGAGATGTCGCCTCCGCTTATTGAAAGGTGTTTCTCAATTGTTCCCTTGAGTGATTGAATGCGCACTTCATTCAGGGATCTGTGCTGATTCTTGCAATTTGATGTTCATCACCATCTTCGTCTGCGTCATTCACAGCCGTTAACGGCCATCATTCAGCTCCAATTAGCATGCGCATGCCTTCGCTGAGGACGAGCCATTATAAGCGAGTCAATTCCACCGTAACCCTACAAATTGCTGGCGACACATTCGTCGCCAGAACGCGTCATCAACCGACAGACTGCTGACGACATGAACGGAGTGCTGCAAGCTGTAATGAGCGCGTATCACATGGCTAAGTGAAGGCCGTGGCTGCTGCTGTTGAGATGTGGCCCGGACTGTGATAAGAGGCTCTCTGGAATTTTTGACCTAATTTATACGCTCAAAACGTAATCCACCTTCTGTTGTGTGCCATCTCAGCACTAGGCCGAAGTCTTCAATTTTTTAGCGCTCTCCGATTTTTCATATGGGGAGCTTTCAGGAGCCGTATTGGCTAATCGCAAATAGCGAGCCATTGCTTGACACATTATAGGATTGTTCCTGGAAGCCCTATCCGTTTGCTGACTGGTTCTGAATATTTAAAGCAAGCCTAGAGCCTCGGTATCAAATATTTCTAATTTATCAAGAACGACAAAATAATCACAGCCAGACAGCGTACTTTTAGATAGCACTTCTCCAAATTCTAATCGAAATTCCTGCACCCCATCTACGCTGTTCGTTTCAAGGTGGAGTTTGAACAGAAGGCAGGCTACCAGAATTAGGTAGGGTAGAGGTGGTCAGTGGTGTCGGGATGAAGAAAAACCATGAGAAACGTCCAAAAGCCAAGAAATGGGACCCCTTCCTTGCCCGTTTTTCCGCATTGATGCGACTCTCATCGGTGCTGCCCTCTTCAACGCTAACGCTCTCTCTGCTAAACGGCTAGAGACCTGCGGCGAGTGGTTAGCCAGTCGGTGGGCGTGCCGCGTCGATAGCGCCGCGGGGACGGCCATGCTAGTCGCCGGGGCATATCCTTCGCTGCGAAGCGTGTCAGGTCCGCACTCTCGAGGGGTCCGCCTGTCTTTGCACTAGGTAACTCTTCACTTTTTCCACCTTCGACCTTGTCATGGAATCTTCCTTTGAGACATCATCATTCACAGTTGTAAATACTCATGGCTTCTTACTCAAGAAATTACTAAGATTTTTCGTCTTGACAAGGGCGGAAGTGGTGCACTGGCAAGTGGCACGCTTCCCATGCCGCGGT